CTCAAGTGGTAGAGTGCTAGCCTTGAGCTGAAGAGCTGAGGGACAGCGCCCAGGCCCAGAGTTCAGGCCCCACGACCGGACCAAAAAAAAAAACCAAAACCAAAAACTTACACGAGTGAAAAACAGTCCAAGAGAGGCGAGGGAAGAAAAATCATAGCAACATAGATATAACAAGACTGGCCACAAGCTGATTGTTATGCAAGCCCAGGTGGTTGATGTGCCAGGGATCACAAGTATGTTTGAGAATTTCTATAAGATACCTCTTAAAAAATTACAGATAAGTTTTAAAAATGATTCCCATGCTTGGTTTCATCCCTGAACAATTAAATCAGAATCCCCAGGGTGAGGCACAGAAGTTTTCTTTTTCCTACACTGCTCTAAGTAATTCTAACCTGCAATGAGAGGTGAAAACTACTGTCTTAAGGGGAGAATACAAGCTTTTCCCCTAGAAATTTCTTCTTTGGGTGTCTCTAATCTCTCTGCACACAAATCAGATATAAGCCACAGACCAAGTCAGCTGTGGTGACACTGTTTGCTTGCCAGTAGCCATACTACTGTCTTGCCTCACTAACCTGTAATTTTGTCACCATGTGTCCTGTTTTTCCAGACTATTGCCTACCTAATGGTCATGTAACCTCTCCTGACCAATGAGGTGCAAGCAGAAGTGGCTGCTGGGAGTTTCCTATCACAGGGACTAGAATATGAGGTCCTTTGCAACTGAGACTCAAACAAAAAAATTAGGCCAAAGTTTTTTTCCCAGCACTAAGCCCTTCTGTTTGAGTATCAGCACAGTGATCCTCTGTGCTAGCCTCCTTCCACACCAGGCTTTCTCTCCCAGATTCTGCTGATGACTTAATTCTGAGGACACTGAATGCATTCTTACTCAGTTCTGCCCAAACCCAATCTCCCATCCCCCAGCCTCATTCAGGCTACTCTGCAGTCCATCTGAATGATCTTCAACATCCTGGAGATAGATTTTTCCCTCACCTGAAATAAGCCAAGAGTCTAATTAGTGCTTTATTTCACTTTGAGGGAAAAACTTTTTTCCTTTTTCTTTTTTATTAGTCCTGGGGCTTGAACTCTAGACCTGATCATATTCTCTGAGCTTCTATATTCAAGGCTAGCAATCTATCACTTGAACCACAGTTCCACTTCTGTGGTTAATTAAAAATAAGTTTCACTGGGTGTCGGTGGCTCATGCCTGTAATCTTAGCTATTCAGGAGGCTGAGATCTAAGGATTATGGTTCAAAGCCAGCCCAGGCAGGAAAGGCCGTGCAATAAATTACTCAGAAAAAGCTGGATGTGGCAGTGTGGCTTAAGTAGTAGAGTGCTACACTTGAGCAAAAGAAGCTCAGAGACCATGTCCTGCAGAGTTCAAGCCCTAGGACTGGCAAAAAAAAAAAAGTCTCATGGACTTTCCTGCCTGGGCTGGCTTCAAACCAAGATTCTCAGATCTCACCTCCTGAGTAGCTAGGACTTTGGCATGAGCCACTGGTGCTAGGCCAGAACTTTTGGAAAAGTATTTTAACTGCCTTTGGGATTATTTTTTCCTCATTAAAAATAATTACCAGAAATTCCTAAAAGCCACTTTTGAACCATGTTTTTCCGTGTTTATGAACCAGTTGCTAAGAACCAAAAAAAGCAAAAGAAGCCCGTATGTATACAAAGCAAGAAGTCACATGGTAACTCCATGTGCAGCAAACAGAGCAAAACCAGAGCCAGCAGACTTATGCAAAGCATGGCACGGTTCTTGATAAACTCCAAAGCAACCTTCCTGCTTAGGCTTATAGACACAGAATCCTGTGATGAGTCTTGAGGGTTTAAACAACAACAACAACAAAAAGATAACTAAAAGTGGACTCAAAACAAGCAAGCAAACAAACAAACCTTTCAACCTTTCCCAAGCCTTTCAACAGCTAGGTCTGACCCTGCAGTGGCCCCTTCCTACATGAAGGGTCCTTTCCAATTCCTGTCACATGGAGACCATGGGGCACTGAAATTCTGTCTCCAAGTTGAGCCTGCTCTGTACAAAGCTGTTTGAGCAAGTACTGTGAAAAGTCTAAATGCACACTCTCCTAAAGGTATTGGCTGACTCAATGCACAGTTTTCTAAAGGTACTGGCTGATATAGAAAATATCAGCTTCCGCCAGGCACTGGTGGCTAACACCTGTAATCCTAGCTACTCAGGAGGCTGAGAGCTGAGGATCATGGTTCAAAGCCAGCCTGGGCAGGAAAGTCCATGAAACTCTTACCTCCAATAAACCACCAGAAAACCAGAAGTGGCTCAAGTGATAGAGCACTAGCCTTGAGCTGAAGAGCTGAGGGACAGCGCCCAGGCCCAGAGTTAATGAATGATGACAAAAAAAAAAGAAAGAAAAAGAAAAAAGAAAATATCAGCTTTCTAGTTGTTGGGACTCTGAATTTGTCAACATTCAGTTTCACTCTCCTCAAATGGAACAGGAAAGAAAAGGTCTATATCAGATTTTCCTTGCTTAAGCTCCAAAAGAGAAAATTCTTGGGAAGCTAAGGCAGAAAGATCACTTGAGCCAGTAGTTCCAAACCAGCAAAAATCCAAAAAGGAAGAAAGGGAGTTGGGAAGAAATAAAAGAAATAAAAGGAGGGAGGAGGAATACAGGGAGGGAAGAAGGATAGAAGGGGAAGAGGGAGGACTGGGAAGGTGGCTCAGTGGTAGAGTGCATGCCTTGCATGCATGAGGTCCTGGGTTCGATTCCTCAGCACCACATAAGCCAAAAAAGCCAAAAGTGGCGCTGTGGCTCAAGTGGTAGAGTGCTAGCCTTGAGCTGAAGAGCTGAGGGACAGCGCCCAGGCCCAGAGTTCAGGCCCCATGACCAACAAAATAAATAAATGAAAAAGAAACGGAAGGAGGGAGGAAGAGAAAGGAAAATAACCCTACCTATTTAATGCTTCTACTACATAACATCAACAATCTCAGGGCATTTTGATTACCTGGTTTCATGTATAAAATGTAAAAAGATCAAAGAAATGGACCACATCAATCATGTGCCCCTGGATGTGATGGGATGGGATGGGGAAGTCACACCTTACTTCTGAGTATTTCTTACCAAACATGCACACCTGGATATTTTGGGGGGCTGGGGTGCAGTACAAGGATTTAACTCAGGGCTGTGCACTTGCTAAGCAGGAGTTCTACCACTGGAGCCATGACTCTGGTTCTAAACTTGTATCTAAACACAAGGAAATAACACATAAACTCTGAGATACATTCCTTAGAATAAATGACTGGCAGGCTGGAAGAATGAACAAAAAAAGACTAAAGAAATGTTGCTGCTGGGAAGAGATATTCCAATCCAATGCACTGTAGGATTGTGAATGGTAGAACAGTTAGTGAAATTACTAGGTCTGTATTTGCATTGGTTAACAGTATTGTACTGATGGTAATTTCCTAATGGGATCACTAAGCTATGATTTTGTACACTGAAAACTAGGTGGAGGGATCCCATCATTCTATTGTGACAATTTCAGTATAACTCTAAAGCTATTTCAAAACTTTAAAAAGGGATTTTAAAGCCATGAAAACTATTCTTCGCCCCATGAGCCCTGGGAAAGTGTGTCTTCTGATGACAACTCTGGGAGCTGGTGGGAGTTGAAGCATCTTTGATGGTCAGGACCAGGTGGGGAAAGCATGACTCAAGCCACGCTCATCCAGCTGCTTACCTCATTCCATTTTCTCTACCACAGATACTTGTGGCTTTTCCTGGGAGTTGTGACAGGGGTCTGGAGAGGCAGGCAGCCAACATCATGGTCTACTTCCTGCTGGTGATTCTAAAACACAAATGTTCACTGGTATTATTACCTCTGGCATTGAGGGGTTTAGTCAAGAGTAGTCATTTTTCTTCTAGGTTGTTAAAGTCAAATGGCTGAATCTACCAGACCCAGTGCTGGTCCTAGTACCAGTTAGACCCCTCCTGCACCTCTCCACCAACTACAACCTTCTTTAATAGGAAGTCAGAAGCCAGGGATTTGGAAACCTGGGTTCTGGCTGTGGCCGTGCCATGAACTCACTGACTCACTGTGTAATCCTGGATCAGACCAGTAATCTTCAAACCAGCCTGGCAGAAACCACCACCCTAAAGGGACTATGACTCAGTACGTCCGTTCTCTTGTCAGGATCCTCATACCTAGCAAAACATTATCATAGTGACCTGGGCATGGGCTCTCACTCCTGTTGTGTCCATAGGCCTCTCTCTATACACAGTATTGGCAGCCCTACACACCATTAGCTCTGTGCTCCCCAACCCTGCCCTGCTGTGCTTAACAGTGACACCTGCTGGCCAAAGACTAAGGAAGCTGTTGTTCTTTTCCTGAACAAGGTGCTTATAGCCTCTTTGCACACTATAAATACTGTAGTTAGACGGATTTTGACAGTATTAAGACCTTGCCTGGAAGGTACTCTTCCCCAGCCCAAACCTAACTGATAACCAGACATCTGGTCAATAGGTCTGTGTGCTAGTCTATTTTCTATGTGTTTTGTTTTGTTGTGTTGTGCATGTGTGCTCATGCTAGGGCTTGAACTCAGGGCCTTATGATTGCTCTACCCACCTGTTCATGGATATGCTCTGTTAAGTGATGCCTCCAGTCTGACATAGCTCGTTATTTACAGGTGAAATCTCAGACTATCCTGAAAAGATTGGCAAGTCTCAGCCTCCTGAGTAGCTAATACTACAGACAGGAGCCACAGGCCTCTGTTTTTTGTTTCACTGAAAGATTTATGACTGGGAAACTTCCAAAAAGAAAAGAGGCTTATTTTGGCTCACCATTCCGGTTCAGAATTGTCTTCTTTCTATAGTACCTATCTTACCCTCCAAAATTATTTTATTTTCCTTATTAGACATAAGTTTATGAGGCAGCGGTCTTGCTCATCTTACTTACCACTGAATTCTCAGTACCCAGAATAATCTTGCTACCAAGCAGGTATCCAGAGAGCCTCTGGAATATAGATGATGAGCTGGGTGAGCTTCTCTAGGGGACCATGGGGATGGGAAATCAACCTGTGGCTCAAACAGAAGCACCTACTAACAGCAGCAGAACAATCCCAGATGGGCCCTCTATGGAAGGCTAGGACCTACACTAGTCCTGATTCTTTTTACCTATTGTTATATACTGAATAGCTGGCTCAGAACACACATCTCTACTTTCTCTCTCCAGGACTGAAGTCCAGACTTTCAAATGCAGCTATCCGAACAAAAAAAAAAAGTCCTTTTCATCCCTTAGCTCAATGCCTATGGCAGAAAATGCTTCAACATAAGAGACATTATGCTGGGGGCCAGTGGTTCATGCCTGTAATCCTAGCTACTCAGGAGGCTGTGATCTGCGGATCAGGTTCAAAGCCACTTTGGGTAGGAAAGTCCGAGAGACTCTTATCTCCAATAAACCATCAGAAAAACTGGAAGTGGTTCTGTGGCTCAAGTGGTAGAGCACTCACCTTGAGCTGAAGAGTGCAGGGACAGCACTCAGGCCCAGAGTTCAAGCCCCACAAAAGAGAGAGAGAGAGAGAGAGAGAGATTACTAGAGCTGTCAAAATTGCCAGAATTACAACCCCCAGATCAAGCAGGCATTGCACTCCTAGAAGAATGGTGCTTTCCTACCAAAATCAAGACCAACCACTAAACCTCCAGCCTACGTTCCTAGTCTGTTCTGGCGACCACAGTGAATTCTCATAGTTTTAAATGATCATCTCGAGACCAGCCATATCCCCAAACACTAGATATACAAGTGTCCTTTTGAAAAATTAATAGGTATCTTGAATTTAACTTGTCCAAATTGAGACTTTGCTAGTTCCACATCTACATCTTCCTTCTTCCACTTTCCACAGCCCAAGTGCTAGCAAACTCTACTGACTCCACAATATATCCTCTGCTACCACTGTATTCTAAGCCTCACCCCTTTTTGTCCAGATTATTGCAATAGCCTCCAACTAGGCTCCTTGCTTCTATCAATATCTCTGTGCAGGCTGCTCACCACAGTCTGTGTGACTCCCGCACCAAACACATGCAGAATAAACAAAGATTTCCCACAAGGTCCTATGCAATCTAGTGCCACCATCTCTGACCTCATACCCTTCTCCCTCACTGAACCTCTGTCACAGTGGCCTTCTTGCTGTCCTTGGAACATTCCAGGCCAGCTCCTGCTTCAGAGTGTCTGTCCTGTCCCCTCTCCCTGGCACACTCTTCACCCATTATCTTCAGGGTTCATTTTCTCACCTCAGTCTTTTATTTAGAGGTTTGTTCTCACCTCCAGGTCATCCCATCAGTCCACCCTCTCCTGAAGATTTTTCTTTCCACCCTACTTCCTTGTTTCTACTTTGTCTTCCTCCTTGGCACTTACCATTATAACATTCTATACATTACCACATTAGACTTATTTATCTTGTTTGCTTTCAGTCCCACTAGAAGTCAAGCTCTTAGGCTGGGAATGTGGCTTAGTGGTAGAGTGCTTGCCTAGCATGCATTAAGCCCTGGGTTCAATTCCTCAGTACCACATAAACAGAAAAAGCCAGAAGTGACACTGTGTCTGAAGTGGTAGAGTGCTTGAGCAAAAAAAAAAAGTTCAGGAACAGTACCCAGGTCCTGAGTTCAAGCCCCAGGACTGGCCAAAAAAAAAAAAAAGCTCTGTAAAAAAGGGGATTTTTTGTCAATTTTGTTCATCCCAACATCTAGAACAAGGCCTTGTATACCATAGGCATGTAATATTTAAGAGAGTTTTAAGCAGAGTAGTACCATAATCAGACTTACCCTTTAATAAATCTCATGGGAAATAATACATGGAGGATGGACAAAAGTGGGCGACAGATCAGAAGCTGTGGCAGGGACACAGTGTACAGCCACACAGAGTGGACACCACACAACTTCAGTGAAATATGAAAAGTTACTGTGCGATGATGGACAGAGAGGCTGCTTGCCATCTATGGAGATAAATGGAACTGGTCAGAGTCTGATTTTATTTTAAAGGTAAAGCTTATATTGCTTACAGACAGATCGAATGAGGCATGTGAAAGAAGAGTCAAAGGTGTCTCTTAACAGTTTGGAACTACAATAAAACACGACATGAGTATAACTGATGGATTTCAGAGCTTTTCATTCATATATGCTTAATATATTTCAAAAGCTGGCCTTCCTAGCCTCACTTCGTCTCCTCTCCCTCTCTCTCCCTCCCCCTCTCTTTCTCTCTCTCCTTTCACACATTCTCTCTCCTTCTTCTCCCTATATAACCCAGGATGGCCTCCAAGTCCCATCCTCGTGCCTGCATTCCAGGTGTGTACCCTATTCCACAAGTCCTGTGCCTCCTGACTCCCATGCCTTACGCATCCTCTTCCAAATCTCCTTTCTGCTTCTAAGATCTAAGGGGACACAAATACCCCTCGTTCAAGCTTTTTCATAATTTAAAAAGAAATCGACTTTCACCCCCAAAGAGCTTCCTTCTGCGCACTCGCCCAGTCGGGGTATGCCAGTGGGGATATTTCTGGTGATTATGCACCCAAGCTCCACCAACGCCCCCCCCCATTCCCCCACACCAGCGGGCAGACCCGCGTGGCGACGCACCGCGTCTAGGGAACACGTGCTGAGAGAGCGTTAGAGCGGCGCTCACTTCCCAGCCCTGCTTGCTCGCGTGCGTGTCTGTGCACGCCGGGCCTCGCTGGGTACAACGCAGGGCGGCGCGCCACACGGGCCCTGGCACGAGCGAGCGGGCCTGCCGGGAAATCCGCACCTCAAAGCGGGAACCGCGGGGGGCCAGACGGTGACTCCACACCGGCTGACTAGGGGCAGGCTTTGGCTGACTGGCTGGAAAAACTCGCGCTGCGTCTAACGCCGGCACCCTCCGCCCCCCGCGTCAGCGGCAGCGCGCTGCAAGCCGCGAGGACAGCGAGGGACTCCATCCGGGTGCTAGGACTCATGCGCTCTCGGCGCGCCCCGGCACGCAAAGCATAATGAGGGGTCGGGTGGGGGGCGGGGTAGACGTCCAAGATGCGCAGGCGCCACTCCGTTCCACGCCGCGCCCGTGGGCCGCGCAGCCAATGGCTGCGCCGCGGTCCCCTCCAGCGGGCGGGAGGGCGGGCGCCGAGGGGGGCTCGGCCACGGCTGCGCTCCCATTGGCGGAGGCGGCACCACCCTGACAAAGCCCCACTGTCCTCACCGCCGCGCCGCCGTGGCGGTCGGCCGGCCCGAGCCCGGGCCCACCACCAGCCCCGAATCCCCTCGCCGACTCCCGAGTCAACACCCGGCCAGATCCTCTTCCTCCTCCCCTCCGGCAGGCCAGCCTGGCTCGGGTTCCAGCGGCTGGACTCGCGGCCTGACCGCTGTCCAGCATCCCTTCCCGAGCGCAGCCTGCGGAGAGGAGGCATTTCCCCGCGTTCCCCGCCCCGGGAACACAGCGTCGCCGAGAACGCGCGGGGAGGAGGAGGAGGCTGCGGGACGGGATCCGGGAGACTGGTTGGGAAGGTAGCAGTGCCTGGGGCGGGAGCCGGGACGACAGGACTACTGGTTTCCAGCTCTGCTTGGCCAGGGACGACGAGGTGACCTTGGGCCGGTCCCCTCCCTTGTGGGGACCACGGTTGCCTTTGGTCAAATCGAGTCACCCAAGAACGGCGAGTGCCGGGGATTACACCCGGGAGTCGCCCGGTCGGGAGCTCAACCTGTGGCCTCATGGGGAGCACTATTTTCAGAAGATTGATACCACCCCCCACCCTGACCTTGCTCCCACAGGTGCGAACGGAGGAGCGGGGAGGAGAGAAAACCAACCACCGGGGCCGAGCCAGCTCAGCCTAAAATGATCCACCTTTCGGCTCCTGCTCCGCCGCAGCCCCAGGGCTGGCCTGCGGGACCCGATGCCCCTTCCCCACCCAAATCCCGGAAACCGGGCTCCGTGGCGGCCCAGAGCCCAACCAAACTGAGGCCAGGGCGTTGGCACATCCCACCCGAGCTCAGAGAAGCTGACCCTCCGCTTACCCCACTCCGGATGGGCAGGGGGCTCCGCGGCGGAGGGTGGCGGGGGGACTCGGCTGGCGCGAAGCTCCTATCCTGGCACTGCTCAGGCCTGGCGTGGGGGTGATGCTGGCAGCTTCCTTCTCGAATCCCCTCTACGACCCCTAAACCCGCGTCCTCCAGCGTCTGGCACCCGGATGCACCCACACTCTTCGGTGTGCGCGCTCGAGCAGCGCCGGGCGGGGCCCGACGGCCGGCGGCGTGGAGGCGGAGTGAGCTCCCGGGCCGCCCCCTTCTGCCTTCGGGCCCCCAGCCTGGCGCTGGGCCCGCCGAGGGCTCCCCCAAAACGCTCCCCCGAGGTTAACCTACGCAGGACCACGTGTCTGCGTCCAAGCCGGGAGCGGATTTCTGCCACCTCTCTCCTAGACCAGGGTAGGGCCGAGTGCCCGGCAGGTTCCCGCGCCCCGGGACGCCCTGGGGCTGCGGAAGGGAGCAGGTGCGGCTCCAGGAAGTGGGGCTCCCAGGTCTTTTTCATTTGCTGTCTTTAGAGCTCCTTAAGGTTGGCTGGTTGGTTGGCGGATGTTTAAATTTCTTCTGATCAGATGAATTTTATTTATTAAAGATTTGCTCCTAAGAGTCTTTTTTTTCTTTTTCTTTTTTTAAAAGTCATAATCAGCACGGAGCCTGATGGTGGCTCACGCCTGTAATCGTAACTACTCAAGAGGCTGGGGTTTTAGGATCGTGACTTAAAGGCTACCCAGACAGTAAAGTCCATAAGACTCTTACCTCCTATTAATCACCAAAAAACAAACCAGAAAGGGAGCTATGGTTCAAGTGGTAAAGCACTAGCTTTGGGGGGGGGTGAATAGAGGGGGGGAGCGCCTAGATCCTGAGCTCAAGCCTCATTTAAGCACCCCTCCTCCAAAAAAAAAAAAAGCCAGAATAGTGGAACTTCCCAGGGCATTTCCAATATAAGTCTGTGCACAAGCGGCCTTTCATCAAGTTCCCCTCCCACCTCACTACTCCAAGCCACCGGTTTCCTGGATGAGAAACCTGCTGAGCAGAGTGGAGCAGTTACCAGGGCCAATTCCTGGCAGAGGTGTGTTTAGGTAAATTGCAAAAGGAAGGAATGGAGAAAAGAGATTAAGTAGATTCAAATGCAAAGAAGTGAGCAGGGGGTATTAAACCTGTTGCTTCTTAAGGGTTGAGGCTTTCTTCTTCATGCCCAACTCCTCTAGCAGCTAGAGCTTTGAAGACCAGGGATTATGAAAGGAGTTTGCACTCTGTTCTCTGTACTCTTTTCACAGTCTCAACCTAGAATAGGCAGTTCAGAGCACTTACTCTGCCTCTACGTTACGCTACATTAATAGCGATAAATAACTACTGAGTCATTTTGAGAATTATATATGGCTAGAAAAGCACTTAGAGGAAGAATTGTTCTATCCACATAGAAAAAAAAAACAAGTAGATCCTCTTTGGACTGAGAATTTAGTGGAGATATAGTTCTATTTATTGAAGACTTCATTGAGGTTCTAGCAGACACTCTCAGTGGCCAGGTTCACATCCCAGTTTTGCTATGTAACCAACCACATTAAAGTGTAACCCAAAGCACCTTGTTTCAGCTGAACCCCCTGCTGAGAATTTCTCTGCCACTGCCCCCTGGGTTCCATGCAGCAACACACTGAGTAAACTCTGGGACTCGGGACTAAAACCTAGAAGCACAAGGGAGCCAACACCTCTAGGAATGACTTCTGATCAATAGCAGTCCCAAGTGGTGGTAGACAAACAGACTAGTCTTCCATTCTTCTGACCAGCATTCTAAGATGGTTCTCTGTGCACGTCTTAAAGCGAAGGTGCCAGGGGGCCTGTGGTAGTATCCAGTACCCTTGGATTGCCTCTCTTGTTCCCTCCTCCATTGGACTCCTTCCAGTTCTCCAATCCTAGTGCTTGGATTTATTATGCAGCTTTTAAATGACTGGCTGTGAGTGACATTTTCACCATGCTCAGAACATGAGTGTAATCCCCCTTCCCAAAAGAATATTCTGTCCAACCTTCTCAGACCATATAAACTATGGAATTCCAAATCACATAAACCCCCAAGATTTTCACACATTCTTGGAGAGATCAAGCCACACAGTGCTGTTCTCTCTGCCTTGGTGGGACTGACCCAAATGTCACCCACCAGACCCTTACTGCAGGGCTTATGCAGGTCTTCAGGGATCTCTGAAGTGTGGGTCAAGCCATCTCTCCCGAGAACCTCTTATAGGAAAGTACAACTCAAACTGACTAAACTTTACATCCACACACCCTACTTCAATGCAAAGCAAACAGACTTTGATAATTAGGTTCTAAATAAAACTGGAACTCACTAAGTGGTTAATGTACATTGTCTATCAAATATATTCCCAGTGAGATTTGTTCTCATTTTTGCTCTGCTTTTAGATATTATAGAAAAGAAACATCTCCTTCAACAATAAATCCAGTGATTCATGGATTCATGGGAACACTGTTGTCTTGATCTTATTTTAACCATATGAAACAGATTAATTCCTAGAATAAGCGGCCTGTATACAAGTCCTGGATCCCATAACCAGGAGAAATGGCTGGCTGAAGAATGGGGTCAGGTGGAATCCTACAAAGGGGTTCTCAGCCCCACCTCCGATCACTTTTCTCCCCTAGATTCTAGATTCTCCTAGGGGAGAATTCTGGAGAACTCAGGGCCAGGGCACTGTCCCTGAGTTTTTCTGCTCAAGGCTAACACTCTACTACTTGAGTCTTGCTATGCAGCCTAGGATGGCCTCCAACTCACTACCTTCCTGCCTCAACTTCCCAAGTACTGAGATTCTAAGTATCACCATAGAATATAAACTTGAAATGATAAATATTATAAAACGTGCTTCTCCATGCTTAAATCTGTTTCCTATTTCTCAAGAAAATATTAATATATTACAATAATGTTTCTATTTAAAAATAAGATATGAAAGCATATGCTTATTCCATTCCCTCCTCTACAAATACATATTATTTTTATTTCTGCTTATTTATTTTCACTTTTATTCTTGTTGGTCATGGGGCTTGAACTCTGGGCCTGGGTGCTAACCCTTGGCTCTTCAGCTCAAAGCAAGTTCTCTACCACTTGAGCCACAGTGCCACTTCTGGTTTTCTGGGGGTTTATTGGAGATCAGAGTCTCACAGACTTTCTTGCCTGGGCTGGCTTTGAACCGTGATCCTCAGATCTCAGCCACCTTAGTAGCTAGGATTACAGGAATGAGCCACTGGCACCCAGCATTTCTGCTTATTATTAACAGGGACATACGCTAACATTTTTTTTCAAAAATAAAATAAATCAAGTCACAAAACCACTGCCTCTCTGTTTGGGGTTACCTGGAGTTTGTTCCAAAGGCCTGTTTCACTCCCCTACACTGAGTTCCATCCTCTCCTCTAGGCCTCATCCAAGGCCCAAGGCATTTCCTTCTCTGCCAGCTCTCAGATCAGCCTCTTACCTTGAAGGTGCAGCACACTCTTACAACACTGTTGGCACCCAGGATCCTCTTCAAGAATGTGACTGGCCAGATGCGCTGGAATCCTTTTAATCCTTAATCAGTTAACAGACACCACGCCAGCCTCATGCAGATTCTTCCAGCACTGGAAGGGAAGTTCACACACACATGTGGTAAGTAAAGCCACCTAATAATAAAACACAATACTAGGAGTTCTGGACATTTGTTTATGTGTCTGTCATCGAACAGGCAAAGTTCAGCTTTGTTCTTGTTTATTTTAAGCTTAAACTATCTGTGAGTTTTTACCCTTAGTTTGTCAAAGGGTCAAGGGTAGATGGCTGCTGCTTAGAGACGCAAATCAAAGTAAATAAAATGATGCCAAAGGACAGCTCCAGCTCATTCCATCCTTGCTTGCCCTGCCAGGTGTAAGACAGGCATCAATCAGCAAAGGAAATGGCCTGAAAAGACTAAGAAATATATAGAGTGCTCTGAGCTTGATTCAAAACCAGGACCCCAGAAAGACTTCAAAATTTCTTTGTACTGGGTCTCTTACAAGGGGTGGGGCTTGGGGCAAAACTATACATTTTGAATGTTATAGAAGAGGAGAGAACAAATATGTCTGAAATTCAGACCATCCCTTAGGCCATCTCTCAGTGTTACCACACTCTTGACTAAGTCAGAGGAAAGTTACAACAACCTGATTCAGGCAGGATTTTTTTTTTTTTTTGGTCATGGGGCTTGAACTCTGGGGCCTAGGCACTGTCCTTCAGCTCTTCGGCACAAGGTGAGTGCTGTACCACTTGAGTCACAGCACCACTTCTGGTTTTCTGGTGGTTTGTTGGAGATAAGAGTCTCACGGACTTTCCTGCCCGGGATGGCTTTGAACTGCGATCCTCAGATCTCAGCCTCCTGAGTAGCTAGGATTACAGGTGTGAGCCACCAGCACCCAGCACAGGCAGGATTATTAATGAAGGTTTGGATCACCTCACCAGATAAAGAATGGTTACAGCTGAAATGCTCCTTGAGGACAAAGAGTACAGAACAGGTAGTAGAAGGTGGATATAAATACCAGCCATGATCATGTGACCAGCCACAGAAACATGTCGTTGTCATGGTATTGCTTCCATGTTTCTTTATGAATGTGTGTGTGTGTGTGTGTGTGTGTGTGTGTGTGTGTGTGTGCAGTATATCTCTGGGTTGGTTTTTTGGGATTTTTTTTGCATGTCTTATTCTATTACCAAGTAATAAAACATGGATTGGCTTTGTCTCATGATGTTGAAATATTGTTGACTTTATATCATTGTACAATATGGAAGCTTCAGTATCTCAGAGTGGAGTAATCCATATGCTGGTGGCTCACCCTTGCTGCTCACCCTAGCTACTCAGGAGACTTAGATTTGAAGCTCCAGTTCAATGCCATCCTGGGCAGGCAAATCTGAGAGACTCCTGTCTCCAGTTAACTAGCAAAAAACTGGAAGTGGTAGTGTACTAACCTTGAGCAAAGAAAGCTAAGCAAGAGAACAAGGCCCTGAGTTTATGTAGCTATAGTCACAGATACAGATATAAATGTACCCCTCCCCATATATATATATATATATGTATGTATATACAGATACAGATACACATATATATGTATTATATGTATGTGTCTATATATACAAGTGTACATGCGTATGTTATGTACATAGATATGCTATGTTCATGTATGTATTATTTCAGGAGAACCCTAACACCCCACTCAAAGTGATCTGTTTTTCCAATTGGACCCTGATACAACCTTGAAAGAGATTGCTGTGCTCTGCCATTGTCCCTCTTTCAGTCTGGGAGGACAGGACTCAACAGAAGTACGGAAGGCCCTTGTCCCAGGGCCTGGAGCCCAGGGCAGAGGTGGGAGGTTTGGTTTCAGGCCAAGCAGGGACGTGGCAAAGCTTGCTTTTCACTGTCTCTGTCCTCAGAGGCCTGTGAGTTCATTGCCCTCCAGGGTGCTCGCAGCCCAGGGAGGAGACAGACAAAGCTTAGTTCACTCCACTCCAGGGCCTTTTGGCCCATGAGATACAAGTTAGAAGTAGTAGGGGGGCTTTGGGATGATGGAGGAGGAAGCTATCCTTGGAGGCTGGGATCAAGGAACAGGTTCCAAGGAGGAGATAACAGTCTTGGAGCTCTTATACAGGAAAAATATTTTTCCTCTGACATTTTTGCTTTTGAAAAAGTTCAGATGTGGGCCTGGTGCTGTGTCTTATGCCTATGATCCCAGTTGTGAGGAAGATGCCAGGCCAGGCAAAAGTGAGATTTTATCTGAAAAAGAAAATCTGAAGGCAATAAGGCTGGGGCCTGCCTAACAAGCACACACCCTGAGTTCAAACCCTAGGACTGAAAATTTTGGATTTCAATTTACCGAAAAGATAAGGAACTATACGGATATAAGGAACACTCAGATCCCTGTTATCAAGCCGGGCGCTGGTGGCTTACGCCTGTAATCCCAGCTACTCAGGAGGCTGAGATCTGAGGATGGCTGTTCAAAGCCAGCCCAGGCAGGAAAGACTGAGTGAGACTCCTATCTCCAATAACCCACCAGGAAACCGGAAGTGGTGCTGTAGCTCAAGTGGTAGAGCGCTAGCCTTGAGCTGAAGAGCTGAGGGACAGCACCCTAGGCCCAGAGTTCAAGCCCCACGACCGACCAAAAAAAAAAAATTCCTGTTATCAAGATTTTCCAATGTTACTTATATTACACTTACTTTTCCTTGAATTCTTTTTTTTTTTTTTCTCTTGGTCAGTTGTGGGGTTTGAACTCTGGACCTGGGCTCGGTCCCTGAACTCTTCACCTCAAGGCAAGCTCTCTACCACTTGAGCCACAACAACACATCTTACTTTTCCTTTTTCTGTATGAACATATGCATATTGTAACTCAGCTAACAGTTGCTACAAATATAACACACCATTTCCAAATATCTTAAAAGAATTAGGCAATTCCTCTACATAATATGATACTATTGTCATATTCAAGAACTTTAACATTGATGATATATATATATTTTTTTTTGAGGGGTCTGGTCATGGGGCCTGAACTCTGGGCCTGGGCGCTGTCCCTCAGCTCTTCAGCTCAAGGCTAGCGCTCTACCACTTGAGCCACAGCGCCACTTCTGGCTTTTTTCTTTTTGCTTATGTGGTGCTGAGGAATTGAACCCAGGGCCTCATGCATGCAAGACAAGCGCTCTACCACTGAGCCACCTTCCCAGCCCTGATGATATATTTTTGAATTCACCTATTACTCAAAACCCCTCAATTATTCCTTCAGGTTTTTTTTTTTTTCCCCAATCAAGATTCCAGTCAGGACTGGGCACTGGTGGCTCACACCCATAAGCTTAGTTACTCAGGAGGCTGAGTTATGAGGATCACGGTTATAAGCCAATCCAGATAGGCAAATTCACAAGATTCTTATCCCCAATTAACCAGCAAAAAGTTAGAAGCAGGGAATAGCTCTAATAATAGTGAGAGCCGTTAGCGAAAAAGCAAGGTTCTGAGTTCAAAACCCATGGCAGTGCACACACCCTTGCACATGTGCATGCATGTACACGCACCCCCCCCATACACACAAAAATATTCCAACCAGGACTGGGAGCATAACTCAAGTGGTAGATTCCAATTCCTAACATGGCGGGATGAGAAAGAGAGACAAAACAGAAGACAGAGTCTTTCATAAGGTCTTTTATGACACTGAGAGTTTTATGAGTTTTGTATAATGTCCCCAAATATGGATTGGTCTGATAATTTCCTTCTGGTTGGATTCAGATGAATATTTCAGAAGGAATGCCGTTTAGTTGATGCTGAGGTAGAATTTAGGCTGAGGTGGGATAGGTTACATCAGACACCAGGAACAGTAATGTTCCTTAGGTGTACAAAGGCCAGGCAGAGCCAAGAATAGCTGTGGCCTCAGGAGCTGTGGAACATCTCAAGTCCTGGGGACAGGAGGCTGGAGGAGAGGAGGGAAAGCTGCAGGTGAACAGAAGGACAAGAACATTTGGACCATATTCATTGAAAGTTGTTCAGAATCTATGCAGGCAGAGTAACTTCTTGTGTGTTTGGTGGTTTTTTCATGTTTTGTTTTTGAGGGTTCTGGAGTTTGGACTCGGGTCCTTGTGCTTGCTACGTAGGTGCTCTACCATTGAAGTCACTCCTTCAACTCTAAATGCTAGTTT